AAAAAAAAAAAAAAAAAAAAAAAAATTGACAAAATTGGTAACACTAACCAGGTGTGATGGTGCACATCTGTAACCCCAGCACTCGGGGAGGCTGGGGTAGGATTGCCATGAGCTGAAGACCAGCTTAGAAGACACAGCCAGACCCTGTCTCAAAAAAAAAAAAACCTGGTATAGCTCAGTGGTAAAGAGCTTGCCTAGCATGCTTAAAGCCCTGGATTCAATCCCCAGTTCTGCCTTAAAAACAAATCTTGTAACAGTTACTTGCAATAAAAATAAGTAATCATGATTAATAGCCAGGTGTGATGTGATGATGGCACATGCCTGTAATCCCAGCATTCAGGAGACTGAGGCAGGAGAACCACTGAGTTCAAGGTCAGCCTGAACTACACAAGGAAACTATCTGAAAATAAAGTTCTTTAAAAACCCAAAATAAGTAATCATGACTATCAACAATGGTTACTATTTACTAAGTGATTCAATACATACACTTTGCATACATGAGTAAACTAGAAGTTAACTAATTTTCCTAAGAAAGTAGAGGATTAGGACATGAGGTCCTGGACCATGGTCCCAAGAAATGCTCTTACAAGCTATGTTATACTGCCTCCTACAGGTAATCAAGGGTTGCAAGATAAAAGAAGAAAAAAAAAAACCTGAACTCTACCCAAAGGACTAAGACAAATCAGGAACCTGTCATTCATATTAACAAGATAAAGAGATTTGTAGGCAGTCCTCAGGACAGCAAGATGTCCCCCACCCCCAAGTTAGTTAGAAATTACAGAAAAATGATGAGGATCAATTCAAAGTGAAAACATCAAAATACGAAATCAAGACCAGCAAGACAAGGGAACCAATAAGGGGGGCTTTAATACAAATAGGATTTACTAAATTTAACACAAAAATGTCCTAATAGATCATAGTACAGGGCACTTTCAATAGGAGGAGAAAGGGTATTATTCAGGGATCAAGTTTAGAAAACAAATTAACTTGGAATGAATTCTGTGATCTAGATAAACGCCTAAAGAAGGATACATCCATACTTAAATCTACCAGGTTAACCAACTCATTCCCCCTACCTGATTTCAAATTCACTAAGCAGCTAATTATAATTTCTATTCCCATTCAAATTTGCCTACAGGGAGACACTATGCTGCTAAGAATAACTGGTCCACTGTTGATTCACCAAGGTAGGGCCCGTAATCCCAGCTACTCAGAAGGCTGAGGAGGGAGGATCACAATTTGGGCCAACCTGGCTAACTAGGGGAAACCTCCCACCTCAAAAATAAAATAAGAAGGCCAAGCTGGGCGTGGTGGTTCACGCCTGTAGACGCATGCCGGAACTACAAAGTGAGGCCCTGTCTCAAAAAAAAAAAGGCCTGGGAATGTAACTCAGTGACAGAGCACCCTGGGTTCAACTCCCAGTAGAGACCAAGGGGGGGGGGGGCTGTTTAGAATTCATTCTAACTGCCTTTTTAAACTTTCCTAGATAACCCACCTACCATTATTTGGAAAATTAAGCTTTCATTTTCACAAGCTCCTTGCTTCCATCATCCTTTCTTAGATAACTTCAGGAACACAGTTTACCCTTTTAAACTTTAAATTCCTCTTCTATAAAACGAAAGAGATCATTTTACAGAGTAACATAAATGTTTGGCACATAAAAGAAAATGTTAGTTCTATCTCTTTTCCCAAGTTCACAAAGCTACTAACTACAGAGAGCTGAGATCTGACCCTGATTTACTCCAAACTCATTTCTTTTTCTATTAGAAGTCCTTATAGGTTCTAGTCTCAGTTGTCACCCAGGATTCCGGACAATTTACTTAACCTTTCTGAGCTATCTTTAAATGACCTTTCTTCTAAGACTTGGGCAACTGAAATTTGTTTTTAAAAACTCCACAAAAACAAAACTACTGTGCAGCCCACCAAGAGGAAAAAAAAACCCCATATGTTTTAAAGTTAAAGCCCTAACTTCTAAGAAACTTTTGTGCTGTGTCTGTAGGGTTACTGGTGTGCCTAATTAACTCCAGTGTAAGTGTGCTGAATGGCAGGATAACTCCTACAAACACAACAGAGACCCACTAATATCTGAATGATGGCTTAAAATCAAGGACTGGGTAGGTACAAGACCCCAGTGATGAATGTAACTGTATAGTACACCTAAAATGTACCAATAAACTTAATGGAAAAAAAAATCAAGGCCTGGCTACCCCTATAAAACAATGAGACTCCATCTATCACCGCAGGTTGTCTGAAGTCATAAAAAGGAGGACTAATCAACATCTATTTAGCTTGAAAAGGGCTATCAAAATGGTTAGGCTACTATCTTTAGAAATGTTAAAATAAGAACTAAAAACTATCCCACACCCCACTTGTTTTGTAAGTAAGGACTTCTGACTTTTAAGGAGTTCAGTAAATAAATTCCCTACCTGCTCAAATCAACTATCTGGTACAAATAATTCACATTAAACATCTCCAAGGCTGTGTTTGAAGTACTTCATATAAACTGTGTTTACAAGGTAGTTTTTGAAAAGAAAGAATATAAGAGATTCACAGAAAAGTAGAAGTAAACAAGCAAAAACTACAATAATTTACCAAAATCAAGACTTGGTGATAAAGTTCATCAAGTTTAAGATGAATTTGGTAAAATTATTCACAAGTGAAAGGTGTGTTATTTAAACAGCTTCCTCTATATTTACATACAGCTTTCATATTTCACATTATTTTGACCTAATAGAAGAATCTGGGTGAATGTTTTCCTCATAGTGAAAGCGTCAAAGCTCAAGGAAATTGTTCAATCTCTTCACGAAGAGTAGCCACTGACTTCCTCTCGCACGCTGTCTATGGACGTAAGCCGCTTGCCTAAAATCACAGTTATTGAAATGTCTGACCGAAAGTCAATCTTTCAGTTTAAAACTCAAGGTCCCTTTCTTTAGCTTTCTAATTCAACCTGATAAGCAACGACGTCTGAGTCATAAAAAAAATAAAACAAATCCAGCGCTGTCATTCTTTCCCCTCCCCCTACACAACTTCTGAAAACTTTTTTCCCAGGCTCTGGAACCCTCCCCCCAAGAAGCTCCCCGCACCTCTCCACAGGGCAGACACCTTCAGCCAGGAGGGCGGTTTTCAAAGCTGATCAATCTTTCCCCAGAGGATCTCAAAAAGCAGGAGTAGGCTATACTGTACGTACCTGGGCGTTGGCTTCGTGGAGTTTGTGCTCGGCAGAGACGTGGTGCCTCAGGAGCAGGGTTTTCTTGTAGGTGCGGGTCCCTCGCGAAAGCTCATCATGCCCCACTTGGGGAAGGTCCACGTTTCCTCCATCCTCAGGGGTCTTTTGGCACCAGCCGCAAAACATAAGGCCAGTATCGTCGGAATAGCGCAGCCAGGGAAAGTCCTTGAGCCAGGAGGTCTGGAAGGAGCACTGGAGCTTCTGCATTAGGGACTTGGGCCGGGCGAGCGCCAAGTGCTGTACAGTCTCCCCTTCGCCGGCTCCCACACCGCTGCCCTCCACTTCGTCCCCGCCATCGCCGCCCGGCCGCCCGCTGTGGCCACAGCTGCCGCCTTCCGCCCCACTGCCGTCGCCTGGGCTCGCCCCCTCCTCCTCGTCCTCGGTGTTGTCGCTCTGGGAAGCGCCGTCCTGCATCAACTCCTTGCTCTCCAGCGCGTCCAGCTCCAGCTCCACATTCGCCGGCCCTCGCCCATTGAAATGCCTCGGGGGCCACGCCGAGGGCTCGGGCCGGCCGCGGCTGCTGCCATTGTTGCCTAGACCCCCGCCGCCGCCGCCGCCTCGGAAGGCCAGAGTCCGACGGTTCCTTTCCGCTAGCAGGGGGCCCCCCGCGCCGCCGCCCAGCGAGGTGGGGCCGCCCGCGTCCTGGGGGAGCAGCAACTCCTTGGTCTCCTCGGCGGCGGCCTCGGCGGAGGCCTCCACGTCTTGGGGCTCCAGGCCCTCCAATTCCATTTCCTCGTCGGCCCCCCGCCCATTGGGCTGCGGGAGCGCGGGCGGTGCGGGCTGTCTTGGCTGGGGTGGCTGAGGCCAAGCCGAGGCCTCCCCGCCAGCGTTATTGTTCGCGGAGCCGCCGCCGCCGCCGCCGGCAGTGACCAACCCGCCTCCTCGGAACGCCAGCGTCCTACGGTTCATCTCACTGAACGACATGGCGCGCGCCGCCGCCCGCTGCCCCGGCTGGCGCCCGGCCTCGGGCCGCGTCCCGCGCGCTCGCTCCCCGCGGCTCCCGCGCCGCCCCCGCCCCCGCCCGCGGCGCTCCGGTCTCGCGGGGCTCGGCCTCACCCTCCCGCTGGCTCGCGCTCGCTCGCTCCGGGCTGCCGCACGCGCCGCCGCCGCCTCCGGCCGCTCTCGTCGTCCTCCACCCCCGCCCCGCCGCGCTCGGGCAGCGTCCCGCGCGGAGAAGGGGGCGGGCGGCGGCCCGCGGGGAGCGCGCGGGGCCTTCGAAGTTGAGCGGCAGAGTGAGTGCAGGAGCCCCTCGGCCGCCCCCTCCTTCAGAGCCGCGCGCAGCCACCGACCCTCCACCAGATAGCCTTCCTCCGGGCGCGCCGAACAGTCCCGACGCCGCCGCCGGCCTCCGAGGCGCTGAGGACGAGAGGCGCCTTACACTGCCGGGCCCCGCCACATAGCGAGCCGACAATAAAGCCGGCGGAGCGTTTCCGTCCGACCAGGCCCTGGCGGAGGTCGAATGGCAAATGAACAACGGACCGTGCGCCCACAATGCACCGGGGTAGCAGTAACCGCTGGAGGGGGAAAGGGTGGGGGCCAGTTGGGGGAGGGGGGCTGGGCTTGGGGCTGGGCCGGGCTGGGGTGGGGGCGCCCAGGGACCGGGAAAGGGGCCGGGCCGCGCCTCGGCCTGGGGGCGGGGGTGCGGCCGCGGGGAAGGAAGTCGGCCGAGGGGCGGGGGACAAAAGGCCGAGCGGCGGGCCGGGGGGTCCCGGGGAGGGGCCCGCCGCGCGGAGGACAAACAGCTGGCGAGTGTCAGGGTCGGGCTGCCTCCCCGCCGCCCGCGCGCACCTACCCGCGCCCGGGAAGCGCATTTCCTTCTCGCCACGAGTTCACCTGGGACTTTGACAATAAGTGTGCGGTGGGCGCTGCGCTCCAGCCTTGTCATTTGCTGGGGATGGGTGGATGGGTGGTGGGCGGCGGCGGCCGCCGAGGAGGTGAACTTATTTTGTTCCTTCACAAAGACTGGAGCAGGCGGTGCCTTTCACGCTGGGAGGGTCCTGCCGCGGACACCTCCTCGGATGCATTGTGCGCGCCAGGCAACACCTCAGGCCCAGGGCAGTAATCATTGCACAGAAAATGCACTGCCCGGAGTGTCTTACTGCTGTGATGAAATGGAAATTTAAATAAAAGGTCGAACACGTGCGTTCTCTGGGAAGTATTGACCTGGGTGTTACATCACCAGCAGCCAATCAGATAACTCCAGTCGTGTTTATATTTCTACAACCACCTTGTGAGTATTACTGTATGTCATAACGTTATAAATATTAGGCAGGGTTTTCCCCAGCAGCGGGGAGGAGCCTGCTCCTGCGGCCGTCGTGTTCAGCTCCGAAGATCGTGTGTGGCTGCGAAGATGATATTTAAAGACAATAATTAATTTTTAAGACTCTTTAGTAGATGTTTATGTTATAGAATTTAGATGTTTGTTATAGAATTTAGAATGATTAGGACATATTGCACAGGAAATGAACCTCCTATAATTATAATCTTGGTCAGGTTTTTCATGAAAAGGTTTTCCCATTCAGAGCCCTTATACTCCTGAGTTTTAATTTATTAATATGCAAAATTTAGCAGGTTTAGACACATTTACTAATTTGCAAGGTGAAGTAAATTCTAAATTATTTTTGTCCAAGTCTATTTCAGGTAAAAAAAAAAGATGTTTTCAAACAAAGGAGACTCATAAGAAGTATACTTATTAGAAGTTGAATCACAAACTGATACAAAATATGCCCAAAATAATTGTTGACTAAAAAAAGGTATAGTTTTTTAACATTAAAATACATACTAGGATATGTGTAGAAAAATGAGAATAGACATGAATTCTTCAGTTATGGATAATATAGGAGGGATTGTTGGAGACTTTACCCTCCATGATATATGTTTTATAATCAGCACGTGTTAATAATGTTTAGGAACTCTAGTTTTATGATTTTTGTTCTCTTTAGAATTTTTTTTACTTTTAAAATAATATTTGGGCTCAGTGGCACCGCACCTGCCTTGCAAGCGCAAGGTCCCGAGTTCCATCCCCAGTACCAAAATAAAACCCCACCACATTTCATATTATATATTTAAAGATTACATTTTTTTTGCGATACCAGGGATCAAACTTGGGACCTTGCGCTTGGAAGGTGGGCGCCAGAACCACTGAGCTAAATCCCTGGCCAGAAACGTAGTGTATCTTTTTTTAAGATTAGCTTTAAAAACAAATTTCACTGAGAGATTTATAAGATAGCGTAACTCATGGGCATCCACATATGTATGGATTGAATAGCTTTATTCAAAGCCACTTTCACTTAATTCACTCTAATTTTAGGACCTATGTAAATGAGTAATGAGTATTAAACAAAAAGCAGTTCCACCTTACAGAGTAAATGTAATTTCAGTGTAAAGAATGATGCTACTGCCAGGTGTGGTGTTGTGTACCTGTAATCCCAGCACTCAGGAAGCCGAGGCAGGAGGATCACTGAAAGTTTGAGGCCAGCTCGGGCTATACAGTGAGTTCAAGGCTAGACTGAAAAAAAAAAAAAAAATGATGCTACTACCTTCCCACAAGGCAAGCTTTGAATTATTTTTCCAGTAATAAGCATATTGTCACCTGACTATATTGTCAGCTTGCCACCAGTGATCAACAAGCTTGAAATTCTGATACAGAATTGGGTTGGTAGAGTTTGTAGGTTTTAGTTATTGGAAAGTTTACAATAGTAGAAATTTATGACTTGTACCCAGGAGAGGGCCGTGGATTTAGCTCAGTGGTTTCGCCGCCTGCTATGCAAGCGCAAGGACCCGAGTTTGATCCCTAGTACCAAAAAAAAAAGTTTAAAAAAAATATAATGCTTGGGGATTTAGCAGTTCGATCCCCAGTACCAAAAAAAAAAAAAAAAAAAGAACCAGACTTGTACCCAGGAGAAAGAATTTTGCTCACTATGACTGTATATATAGTATGTGGCATGTATGGAGTCATGTAATACTATGCTTTTTCCTTAATGTACTTTTAAATTCTAGGCATTTTGCAATACATTATTTATTATATTATAATCACCACAGGCCTATCCCACTTAAAAAGAGGGGTTTCTAACGGGTGTGCCTGCACACAACTGGAATCCCAGCACCCTGAACTACATAGGGAGACTCTGTCTCAAGAAACAAACAAAAAAAGAGGGGTTTATTGCTTATCTAAGATTAAGTTGATGGAAGGTGAAAATGAATTTCATCTTTAAATTTCATTTTGAAAATCTGTTTTCATTCCAAAACTGTTAAATTCAAATCTCTGCTTCTTCTCTTCTTGTATCCCTAATACACAATAGGTACTCTTATCAATTGATGCTATTACATTTTTTGCTTTCTGTTAGTGCTCTTTGTCTTTTCTGGAATTACATTGAAACTGATCAGTTTATGGTAGATTCAAGGGATACAAATAAGTGGCTTAGATTCAAGGACCACTGAACTAACAGGCAAACAGTACCGGTGAGTGGAGTGTGTGCATGTGAGTGTGTCTGTGTGTTTATATATATGTATTTTTCATTGTGTGTGTGTGTGTGTGTATGCGTTTGTTATTGTCCTAAAGGAAGGTGGGATACCCTAGGTATCAGGACGCTCAAGAGGACAGTCATCACACACATCTCTCAGAAAACCCTAGTGCAAGAGAACTTGAGAGCAGAAGGGGATCTCCTACTCTGTAAATGGAGTTTTTAGGAATTCCCCCACCCCTTCCAGTCTCCTGCTATCGAGCAGGGATCTGTTCTTTACTCAAACCCCTATATTTACTGTTAGGGTTCTACCTTATTTAAGGGAATTCCCCTTAGTGCTTACCAGGGGAACCCCTTGAGAACAGGGTATCCCCAAGCAATTTGTCCCCTAACTTCACTGTAGTCTCTGTAAAGCTGCAAGAGATGGTGCTTGAGGCAGGGGATTTAGCTCAGTGGTTCCTCCACCTGCCTCAAAAGTGCGCAAGGACCACAGTTGATCCCTGGTACCAAAAAAAAAAAAAAAAACAGATGGTGCTTGATGCTGGGTGCCCACCATTACTATGAGACAATTAGCTGGCCCGCTGGTCTGTGGTCAGCCTCCACTGTCCTTTACTAAAGCCTTGGTGAGGTGCTGTGCTCCTCTCAGCACTGCCTGTCGGTTCCAGAGAGAATGACCTGTGCTCTGTCTGTGACACTGGCCCAGCTCAGCCACCAGAACGAAGTCCATCAGGGTAGGGGACTTTCTTCCGCTCCCTAGTTCCCTGGTCCCGGCCTAGCACAAAGTAGGCGAATAGTGGATGTCTGCTGAATTATTTACTATATCTTCCCTTGCAGTCCTTTTTGATAGATAATCTTTTCCTTCTATTCCCTCTTATTTTTCATATCTAAGTATTGAGTTAGAGGGGCACCATGGCAGCTCAAGAGGCTGAGGTAGGAGGAAGGAAAGTTCAGGCCAGCCTGGGCAATTTAACAAGACCCTGTCTCAAAATAAAAAATGAAAAGGGCTGGGGGATGCAGCTCAGTTGTTGAGTGCTCCTGAGTTCAATCCCCGCTGCCACACACACACAAAAAGATACTGAGTTCATGTTTCCATTGCCCTTACACCAAGAGTAATAATAATCATAGTTGAATAGAAGTATTAGTGCAATTGTCCACGTAGCTTACGGGGAGTTACAGTTTACACAGCCTCCTTATGGGCTAAATCAGTGTAGGTGTTACAAGGTGTTACCTCCACCTAAATCACCCTTTGCTACTAAAGTAGACAACATGTGCTTTCTTTTTCTTGGTCACTTTTTCTAAGACAGGGTCTCCTCCATAGCCTAGGCTGACCTTGAACTGGTGATCCTCTGCCTTAGCCTCCGGAGGGCTAGAATTGCAGGCATGCGCCATGGCATCCAGGTTCGTGATATACTTGACAGTGTCTGCAAAATTATACACTACACTAAATTTTACACTTTCTTGTTCAAATATGCTCATAGAAAAAAAAGACAAAAAAGATCACCCATTGTTTCTAGTACCTA